CCATCGATATCCTCATCTACGGCTCCATATCGGCGGCCCTCTCAACCGCCTAACCTCCAAGGTTAACCGCCTAACCGCTGTGCACGCACGCCGGCGCTCACTAGTTCAAACCCTAACTCGGTCCGAACCCTAATCACGGAGTAATCCGGCTGACCATAATCACCGGATTCTAACAGTGTCGTCAAGGGCTGTGGGGGTGGAAAGAGTTGCGACACTTGAGCTAGCAGTGAGCTCGAGCTCCCTATGGGTCTCCTCTTCTAGGTTCTTAAGCTCAACAACAAGCTTTGCGTGTTAGAATGTAAACCCGGTCTCTTTTTTTCTTCGTTTCGAAAGCTTCCGCCTTTGCAAGATATGCCTTTTCGCAAAGCGTTTTATATTGCTTCTCCGTGTCAATACTAAGCAAATACTCCGTGTATGCTTTCTTGCTCGAAATTAGTAGGTCTTCGAGCTTTGTCGCCCGAATGAGGTGTGCTTCCGCCCGATTTTGAAGCATCACCCACCGTTGTTGAGGCAAGAGCGACGAAGTGTTTGGAGAGCGCTCTTCAGCCATTGTACGAATTGAAGCAAGAACCTACCCCAAGAAATGAGCTAGAATGATGGATGAGCAATGTAGGACAAGCAAGCTCCTAGACATGAGCTTTATCGCGCGAGTCTGTACATGTCGAGTGTACACATTCACTCTCTATAAAAGGGCTATATTTTCCAATTTGTCGGTGATCCAGTACCCAATGGAGTACCGAGTGTGTAAGTTCGCCGCATCCTACCTAGCTTGCTCACATCCGTCGATCCAAAATAGCCGTTTTTTTTCGACGGCGCCAATTTTGCGACCGTTGCAACGTGGAATCTCCAGCCTGGTAATGCGCGCGGACAATACGACACTTACTTCAATCAAAGTGCTGTGTCACTTTAAGGATGTGTTTTGCTTGTCAGAGAATGTGAGTACCCTCCCGTTTTATATTTACGATTTACAGCTTCGATACGATGGTCATAACCCTTTGAGTCACACTCCGTTCTCGAGATGATTATTTGCTTCGGATAGTAGGCTCAATTGACCGCGGATAAGCAAGCCAAAAGTTTCGTGCAAATGTGGATATCCTCGTGCAAATGTGGATATCCACGGCTATTATCGAACCTACTCATTACGGCCGTTATCTCAATTAGCCATTCGGGTGTAACGCTGTAACCCGCGCGCATTTAATCGCCAACCGCTAAGTATCGATTATCGTCGAACTCCCGTCGATGTCACTCAAAAAGATCGGGCACACGTAATGCCCGAATCTCAACACTCCCCCAGACACTAATGACTTTTGCAAATCCTATGTCGCTCTTGCACTTCTTGAACTTCCCCGGTGCCAACGCCTTGGTCATGTTGTCCGCCTTCATGTCCTCCGTCATGCGATACGCGAACGCGGCCTCCTTGCGTGCCACACGCTCCCGTGCAAAGTGATGAATCGCGTCAATGTGCTTCGACCGCTGTGAAGGGATCAGGTGGTTTAAGGTCGAACTTCCCTCATTCGAAGATTCAAAACCCTATTGCCCGTAGCTGTGAATCATGAAGATGTCTTCATTCATATCTCGAGCTTCGCTTTATCTTTTGAGATTCGTCTTTTGCATAAGCAAGGACACATGAATTGCTATCTATGAAGCACTAGTCGGCAGAAATGAGGTACTCTGTCTACATGCCACGACATGCTCAAAACATGCTTTCTGGGGCGTTTTGGAGCAGCGGGCACTTTTACGTATTGGCGCCTAAGGACCGTTTGACCAATTTTTTGGAATGAGCAAGGGGGGAAGTTGTCATTCGACGAGTAAAGACCTGTTCGGAACATTTCCCAACAAACTTTGACAGAGGAATTTTCAATATGGGCACCATCACTTTTGGACGGAACGCCGATTTCAGAGGTTTTTGCGCTTTCGTCCAAATGTGATGGTGCCCACTGAAAATTTCTCTGTCAAGGTTTGTTGGAAAATGTTCCAAACAGGTCTTTACTCGTCGAATGACAAGTTCCCCCCTTGCTCATTCCAAAAAATTTGGTCAAACGGTTCCCGTACGCCAACACGTAAAAGTGCTCGCTGCTCCAAAACGCCCCAGAAAGCATGTTTTGAGCATGTCGTGGCATGTAGACAGAGTACCTCCTTTCTGCCGACTAGAGCTTCATAGATAGCAATTCATGTGTCGTTGCTTATGCGAAAGACGAATCTCAAAAAGATAAAGCGAAGCTCGAGATAGAAATGAAGACGTCTTCATGATTCTCAGCTACGGGCAATAGGGTTTTGAATCTCCGAATTAGGGAAATCGACCTTAAAAGCCGAATTGCCCCTTGGTTGTCGCAGTAGATTTGGACCGTCCCAAGGTCCAACTCAAGATCACCCCGGAGCTTGCGGAACCACAGCGCCGCCTTAACTGCTTGCGCTGCGCTCATGTACTCCGCCTCCTCTGTTGAGGCCGCCACCGTTGGCTGCAGTCTACTCGACTAGCTCACCGCCCCCCATACATGAGGAAGACGTACCCCGTTGTGGACTGCTTCGTGTCCACGTCACCCGCGTAATCTGCGTCGCAATAAGCGCAAAGAGTCTCTCGGCTCCCCCCAAACATAACCCCGTCCTCTGCCGTACCCGCCATGTAGCGCACAACTCCATGCGCCGCCCGCCAGTGCTCCTCTGTCCGCCCCGCCATAAGCGCGCAAGGGCGCCCACCGCTTGTGCAATGTCGGGCCTATTGCACACACTCAAGTACAACAGGCTTCCTACGCACTCACTGTAGGGAAGCCACTTTGTGTCCAGGGACTCACCCTCTTTCGTCAATTGTTCCCCGTTTCGGGAGGGACGCTGCGCGCTTGAGCGCTTTTCAGTCCATATTGTCCGACTAGCTCTCCGGTCAGCTTCTTTTGCGTTAGCTTGGGGGTGTGCGCTTCCCTATTGCGCGTCAGCTCCATGCAAGGAAGTATTTCGCCCTCCCATGTCGTGCACGTCGAACTTGTCCCCTAAATGCGCCTTACTTTCGCAATGCGGTCCGCTCCCCGGGTCGCCACTAGGATGTCGTCCACCCACACCACTACATAGACCCGATCCCCGGCTATTATTCCCGTGACGAGCGCCGCGTCCGCCATTGACGCCACAAACTCAGAGTTTCCCGAGCTCCTCCTTTAAGCGCACGTGCCATGCACGCGGCGCCTGGCACAACCCGTACATAATGCGCTTAAGGTGGCAAACCATGTTGGACCCGCTTTGCTCGTATCCCCGCGGCTGCTCCATGTAGATCTCTTTTCACAGCTTCCTATTGAGGAATGCCGTCTTGACGTCCAGCTGATGCAGCTCCATATCGCGCTCGCGACCACCGCCAGTCATGCATGCAATATGGTGTGCTTGCTTGCTCACTGAGGCGTAGACATCCTCAAAGTCAATTTCCTGCTTTTGCAGGTACCCTTTCGCCACCAACCACGAATCGTACCGCTCGACATTTCCGAGAGCGTCTCGCTTAAATCTTGTAAAACCACTTCATGGAAACCGGTTTCACTCCTTCCGATTTTTCGACGAGCTTCCAGGTCCCGTTCTCCAACAAGGACTGCATCTCCTCGTCCATCGACTTTTGCCATAGTTCACTCTCTTCTCCACCTACGGTTTCGTGATCGATCTGCGGTTCAGGGTGCTCCCCCGACCCTTTAAGGTGCTCCCTCGCTTTCGGTTCCGCAGCTAAATTAGCACGGTATCACACCCCCCGTCCGCGTCTCTCTCGCGCGCGGTACCTCTGGGAAGTCGGTGTTTGCACCGGTATCCTTCTCTATCTTTTCCGGCCCTGATCTCGCGCACAGTTTCAGACTTGCCCTAATTTTCGACTGTTTGTAAAGCGCGCGCGGAGGCCGCGGGGTCGTCGGGCGCGCGAGCGGCCGCGTCCCCTTGCGCGGATTCAACTTTGAGGCCCTCCTGGGCCTCCGTGTGAACCTCTGCGCCGTGACCTTCCGCCGTCTAGGAACCTTCCGTGGGGTTGGAGCCAAGCTCGACAACCCCGTTTCCCCCGATCTCTTAAAAGAAAAGCGTCTTTGAGCGCCTTTCAAGTGCACAACTACTAGGAATGAGTATCTATCATAAGTCGAGAATCCAATGGCAAGTCCAATCCCGTAGCTTGGTCTACTCTAGCTTACGTGGAGACTACTTTTAGCCGAGGTATTCCAAAATTCAAATCGGCGGCCTAGCTTCAACCACTTCAACAACTACCATCGGATGATCCACACGACTTGACTTTTTAAATGGTTTTGATGTCGTGCTGGAAATGTGCGCGGTCTCAGTCTGCGTTCACCTTAATCTGATCCTAATCTGATCTTAATCTGCGTGCTCTTAATCCTGGTAGTCTTTTATCACGATTGATCTTAATCTTAACCACCGTTAGACGTCAATCTTACAGCACATTAAGACCAATCTCGCTTACATGAAGACCTTAATCTTGCAAGCATTAAGACTTAATCTCGGCCTCATTCGATCTCACATTAAGACTACTCTCGGCTCATTTTGACCAAACCTATGCATCACACAACGAACCAATCACAATACAATGGTATAGGATATTAGGGCATAATCAAGACAAACTCTCCCTAATCTCAACCGCGATTAAGACCAAAGACTTCTTTATTCTAACAGAGATTAAGACCAAAGACTTCTAAATCTCAACACGATCCCCTTGTCAAAAATGACGTCCCGGGAGATGATGAACTTCCAGTCGCGATCCCGGGGCAACCTATATGCCTTCGAGTCCGGCTCGTACTCCACGAACACACATCGCTTGCTCACCGGAACCAGCTTACGCCTCCGCTGCTTGGGAACGTGGCAGAACGCTCGGGCCCCAAAAACCCTCATATGCCCGACATTCAACTTTTCACTGGAGAACGCTTCCTAGGGGGTCCTCCCATGGGCGCTCACGGGCGTCCGGGTCCGGTGTAGTTCGCCGTCACCACGGCTTCCGCCCACACTTCCTTGGGCAACACCGAGTCCTCGAGCATCGCCCGAGTCCTCTCTTCAAATTCCGGTTAAATCGCTCCGCCGACCCATTCTGCTCGCCGCTATAGGAGGCGGTGTTCTCGTGTTCCCTTTCCCCCAAGAACGTCTTCAAGGGCCCCGATCCGTCCTTCCCGACTTGAGCTTCCTCCCCAATTGCAACTCCAATCGATTGATTAGTGATCAGTGAACAGTGATCATCGATTGCTCTGTGACCTTGGCCACCTCGCTCTTCTGCTTCATGGGAACTACAACCGAGAGCTCGCTATATTCGTCCAAGAACGTGGCAAAGTACCGGCTCCCCCCCCCCATACCGAGGTTACCGGCATGGCCCGCAGGCGTCCATGGGAAATAGCTCAAGAGGCTCCGTGCTCATGGAGTCGGATTCAGAGAGAAGGAGCCTAGTTTGCTTGCCCACAATGCAGGGTTCACACACCGAGGATTTGAGCGCCATAAACGCACTCGGTTCCATCCCGACCTTCCACAAGTTCGCCTTGCACCATTTCCGCCAAGTTTTCGTACCCGGCCTGTCCCAACCGTCGGTGCCACATTTCCGCCGTTTCCGGCTTTTTCATTAGGAAGCACGTGTCCTTTTCCGCCCGGTTGACCACGTAGATTCCCTTCACTTTCCGAGCAACAAGGATTACCTCCCCGTCAACCTCAAGTTCGGAGTTGCCATTCTCCTTGATCAACACTAACGCAATCTCGGTGGCCGTGCTCCCCGAGATTACATCGTTGCCACCCCCGTGACATACATCACGTTCTGCCGAGTGACCAATCTATCTCCGCTCAGTGTCGCACACCGCAGGTCAATCGAGCCGGTCCCCTCTGCCAATAGGGTACCCTTTTCCCCAAACGTGAATTCTCGGCCACTCCCCCCGAACAATCCGAGGATCTCAAATAGGCTCTTGTCCACGGTTAGGTGTTGGAAATAGTACCCGAATCGGCGAGCCACTCGTCGGTACACACTCCCTCAATGACGCTAAAGGCCACACTCTTGGGAGGTTTCCTGTTGAGATAAGGGCATTTAGAGACCGAATCTCTGGGTGATTCTAGGGTTTTAGGATCACGACGTCGACGTTAATTGGACGATAGCTCGTAGTTACAATTACACGGTTGAATGCGCGAGGGCTTTAGGGCTGTAGCTTTACACCCGAATAACTTGGCGATAACCGTTGATATTCTGTAGCTTCGATGATAGCCGTCGAAGTACGGTATAGAGTGAAAATTTATACTTACTAGGTGACACTTCATTGAGCCTACTAACTAGGCTGAAGTGTAGACCTAGACATATAGGCCGTGACTCGGAACACTCCATATACATTGTGTGAACTTGATTGATTCAAGATTACTTCCAACAACGCTGTGTTTCGACACATTTTCCCCCCTTCTTCCGCTCCGGCTTGTGCTCGCGCTTGTCCGGTTTGCTGCACTTCCGGGCAATTGTGACCAAACTCCCTGCCATTGTAGCACTTCGGGCCGTTGCCCCGGCTTTCATCCTTGCCGTGGCCCTTCTCCTTGCTCCCTTTCCGCCCTGCCACATAGGCCACAACGGTGTCCGACCCACCGCCGCCCTTTTCCTTGGACGACTCCTTAAACCACTGCTCATGCATTAAGAGCTTCGGCAGAATCGCATCCACAAGGCTAATGGCGCTCTTCAAAGCCTCTAGAATTGTTCTCAGGGTACTACGTCTTGGGCAATCCCGCCAGTACGCTCCACGCCAACTTATCCGGCTTCATCTCAAAACCGGTGGCGATCAAGTCCATATACAAATCCTTTGCCCGACCACATACATGGTCCGAGGGCTCACCCGACTTCATCTTGAAAGTATGCCAACTCTTTGCCTGAGCTGCATCTTCCTTGCATTGCTTTTGCTCTTGTAGGTCTTCTCAAGGAGATCCCACGCCAGCTTTGCGGTTTTGCACCCATCAATCGACCCCGAATGGTGATCCTCAACGTTTAGCCCGATGATGGACAACGCTTTCTTTGATGGAGCTGGTTGCGCTACGGGATCCTCCGTTCCATTCCATAGATCCTTGGAAGTCAGAAGAAACTTCATCTTCAAACTCCACGTTCTATAGTTTTCGACATCCAACTTATCGATGTGGATCTTGTATCCGTCGGCCAATTTAGGGATTGCGTTCCGTTTCTTTTCTTCCTCAGGACCAAAGGTGGACACAAATTTCTTCTTGGGCTTTCCCTGCCACTTGATCCCGGCCCCCTTACGGGCTTTAAAACGTCGTTTAGCTCAAGGAGCGTCCACGATAAAGCAGATTGCCCCCATCATGCCTTCATTCACAAGAGAAACCATTGGCCGACCATTGGCGCAGAGATTCAATCTCCACCCTCCCGGAGATCTACTCTTGAATGCTTGCCGTGGTGTGCCGTCGTGAGCCGTGGGCCCATAACCCGTTGAAACACGGCGTTGTTGGGAATGAATGATCGAAAGATCAAGTTCACACAATACCTATCGAGTTTTTGGAGAAAAGCGGCGCTAAAGCTATGTGGTCCGAGTGCTATGTTACACTCACTCAAGTAGAGTCACACTCCTAGTCCAGGTCTATACTAATAGCCTAGTAGGCTCAGTTGATCGCGGATAAGCAAGGCCGACTCTTTCGCGCAGGTCTGGATATCTACGGCTATTTTCGAACCTACTCATTACGGCGGTTATCTCAGTAAGTCATTCGGTGTAACGCTGTAACCCGCGCGCATTTAATCGCCATGCAACCGCTAACTATCGGTTATCGTCGAAGTCCCGTCGACGTCACCCAATAGATCGCGCACACTAAATGCCCGAATTGCGCAATTCGGAATGCTACAGAAGCAAGACGCTTATGCCGCCCGTCGAAAGCGCTGACAAGCATAGCGACATCTCACATAGGAGTCCTTAGGAGTCCTTTGAAGCTTCAAGAAAGTGTTTCATGAAGGACAAATTGGAACAAGCTGCATATGAGATGCAAAGTTGGCCGCCATTGTGGCTTGCAATGCGCAGTGTCTTACACCCTTCTTTCAACTATCGGCACTTTCTTCTCACCCTAGGTACCGCGGTACTACTCCATGGTGGTTCGAGTTGGAGGTTCTGACGGAGACCTATAAATTTGCAATATATCGTCGTGCGGACGGGAAGGTACTGTACTGCCGCAGTTCACAGAAATGCCTGTTGTTCCGAATGTCAGAAAATTGTGATTCATGAACGGGGACCAATCCTCGAGCACCGTCGAGTACGGTCGTTAGTACTACGTACACACATTTTGTCGCGAGGTCTGACATTGGTGACTGAAAATTCGCGACCGGACCGACCGGACCGATACCGCCGAGACCCACTGTAAGTAGCTTGTGCGATGCTCGGCACTCATGCTCATTAATGGGAGCCATGCACCCTGAGACGAAGACACGAAGCGTCTCACAAGCGGCTTTCTTCTCTTCGCAAACTTTCCAAGAACGATATATTATTAGTAGTGTTTCTCCTCCCTATTGTTTCACGGATCTCTCCTTCCACAAAGCTCATTAGCCTTATAGGCTTAAGCCAAGTGCCTAAAACGCTCACTACTAGGCTTTAATACCCAAGATCATAGTCACAAGGCTCCATCTGTGCTGTACGACTATTCACATACGGCTCGGACCGACGGCCCTCTCAACCACCTAACCTCCTCTAAGCACGCAGGCCGGCGCTGACCGAGTCGAAACTTCAACTCGGTCCAAACCTGACCCCATTGAATCGGCTGACCATAATCGCCGAATCCTAACAAGCTTGAACCTCGTTTTGCTGTACAGTAAATCTTCAGAATTGACACAAAAGGGCTGGGCCTTTAGAGCGCCGGAGATGGAGGAAAGAGATTGTAAGTTGCAAAAAGTTTTGAAATGCAAAACGGGATTAGGTGGTTGAGTGGTTGTGTTTCACATGCAGGGGATCTTTATCAAACTTGCCGCTTTTGATTGTCTACTTTGCGAAGCTGGTCAAAATGATTCATTGTTGCGCGCACTCGACCGATTACAATCAATGTGCACGCGTGCTATATATGCCTTTGCCCCTCCGGAGCAGCCTCTAGAAGTTTAGATGACTGCTGTATATTTAAATTTGCATACGACAACTAGACTAGCGGAAGAGCGATTGAAGGGACTAAGCCATGTGTCTCAGCCCGTTTCCAGGTGGCCGTGGTCATGTCATCATAATCTTTATGCAAATGATATTGTGGAGCGCATTGCACTGATTTAAAGTGCTCAAGTATGGACCGAATATGTACGTTTTTGGTTGCAATGTTGTGCCGGTCGCTCTTGAGTCTGCGTTATGGTTGGGCACTCGCAACCTTGCAATTAGCCTCGTGGGGGTACCGTCATTTTGAAGTGGCACTGGGGTAGGTATTCTACAGGCCAATTTCTTAAAGGGCCACACGCCCCCCCTTCCTCCAGGGCCCAGCCAGTCGAAGATCGTCTCATGCTTGTGGCCTCTTAAGCCACAAAACGGGTCAAAATGTGGGGAAATTTGCCCTCATTTTAGTTGAAAAGGCAGCCGGGGCTGCGCCCCGGCCCAAGGCGTCAAGCCCCCCTCCCCCCCCCACCTCGATCTAGGATACCAAGCCTCAGCCCCCCCTCTCCAATCAGAATACCTACCCCGCTTCCCCTTCAAAGTAACGGTACCCTGGTATCGATGATCAGCCGGATAGCTATATTGAAGCGTGAGTCCAGCAGCTCACCAGAAGTGTTTGTCGCAGTTTCAGGCATTTTCACAAAGGGTAGGACGTGCAAGCTCGATGAAAGACTCCTTGCATTGGTTGTTCAAACAAACTCGGCGCGAACCTTTTCTGAATCTGACTAGCAAATTTCTGCGACGGAGTTGTATATACATGATCGGATTGGCCGGAAGTAAAAGGCTACTTCTGCGACTCTTCCAAAACAAGGTGAAACGTTCTATATGCCTTAGGACTTAAGACGATGCTGCAGCGAAGCGCTTCTCGACATCCTTCCAGTTGACGACCTTCCAGATGGCCTTGAGGTAGTCGGGGCGCACGTTCTTGTACTGCAGGTAGTAGGCGTGCTCCCACACGTCCACCCCCAGCAGCGGCACCAGCCCGCGCGCACTCACCGGATCCTGCAACCCCACCCCGCTGCCAATCAAGCCGAGCTTCACAGTCATGCGCTCACGAGCAGCTCGCATCTGAACTTTTTTAGCATACTCACGTGACGCATGTTCCCAACCAAGCACAGACTCGAACTGTGCAACAGCAAGCAAACCCTCCGGCTTAGACCGCTCGTCCCTTGATGTGCACACGGGGTCGGGCGTGGCCTACCTGGTTGGGTGTGGTGGTGATGAGGATGTGGTGCGTGTCGGGGTTGTACGCCAGCCACTGCACGCAGTAAACACACAGAGGGCCACCAATCAGATCGGGACATACGATGATGCAACACGGTACATGAGCCGCTTGAAGCACAAGCCATCTTCAGGGAATCTCCACGAGAACAGGCGCTGGAGGGCTGAACGCCAGCTCAAGAATTTGGCAGGCAGCACAAGTGCAACGCTGAGCAAGGCGCAGGGCGGGGACAAGGCGGGGTGGGGGCGGCTCACCCCCCAGCCGGAGCCTTGCACCGCGGCGGTGGTGGCGGCAAACTTGGACTTGAACGCGTCCAGCGAGCCAAACTCCTGGTCCAGCGCCGCAGCCAGAGGGCCACTCGGGGGCTCCCCACCGCCCTTCTGCAGACACAGCAACGGAGGCAGGGGCGGGGTTTTGGAAAGGCGTGGGGCTAGAGGAAAGAGAGGCCAGCAGGAGGCAAACTTGGTGACATGCACAGGTGCTAGCGAGCAGGGGCGCTGGAGGGGGCAGCGGGGGGACTTACAGCGGGGGGCGCGAGGTTCTTCCAGAAGATGCTGTGGTTGATGTGCCCTGCAGGACAGGCGCCAGTCAGAAGAAGGAGCGCGCGCAGGCAGGCCAGCGGCAGCGCACATGGGCGGGAGGGCAGGGGGCAGATGCAGGCGTCAGCAAGCGCGGCACAAACTTTAATGCTCACCTCCGCCGTTGAAGTTGATGGCACTCTGGAGGGCCACGATGGCGGGGGTGTCCCCCTTGGCCTGCGCCCCCTCCAGCTTCTCCAGCGCCGTGTTGTACCCCGTCACATACGCCTGCAGCCCCGCGGGAGCGTGAATGTTAGTGGTGGGAACGAGCTACTCCAGGACGAGGTGGACCATGCACTGTGGCAGCCTCTGATGGGCACTGACTCCTTAGCCCCAGGCCTGGCCCCACTGCGGCCAGAGCTGGTCAAGAGCATCCAAACTCCAAAAACTGCAAGTTGCAAGTGGTGATCGCCACATCCGCAGCCGAGAGTTCAGCAGAGTGATGGGTGGTTTGCTGGGGGCAAGATAGATGAGTGCTGGGTAGATGATCCACGTAGAGCTACTGGGTACTGCTACCCTTGCTTGCCCCCATCCCAGCACTGCTCTCAGCGTCCCCCCTGTGGGCAGTGGCCGATGCATCCCCAATGCATGCCATACATGCAAGCGGCCATCGCTTGCCCCCTAAGAGGCGTGCATTGCGGTGGGGCTTGTACCTGGTGGTGTTTCTGGTGGTGCAGCCGCATGATCTCCCCGCTGATCACCGGCTCCAGCTCGCCATAGTCATAGTCCAGCGGCGGCACCGACACCGTGTGTACACTGCGCGCGGCCCCAGCTGCGCACGCCTGACGGGACGAAGGCGCCAGCGAGCGGAGCGCGTGGCGCAGCATTGTAGCGGGCAACAAAGACGCGATGCGCAACGGATTGGATTAAGGCGAGAGGGCGGAGACACGCCTGGCCTGAGCGGCTGTCAGGGTCGGTGTAGGGACAGACGCCAAGTGCAATGTGACAATGAGAATCAGAGAAAGTCTGGAGATTAGGTAGCAGTCGGACCATGGCAGTACTATGATAGTCCTAGGTAGTAGCACCATGGCAGTACACTGTTCTTGCGATGGACCAACAGGAACCGTGGGTTGAAGGTTCCAACTCAATCCGCGCGCAGGAACGCGCAGCAGACGGTTGCGAAAAAGCGGCAGGGCCTGTGCAGTGTGCAGATCTGTGGCCCGTGTGGGAATCGCAACTTGCAGCCCGCTGATGCAGTGAGATTGTAGAGTTCGGACTGTAGAGTCAACTGTCAAGTGCAAGACGGCTGCATTATGGAGCCGAAAGTATTGAGTGGTGGTGGTGGTGGCGGGGAGGGGGCTACTGCCCCCCCTCCCTTCATCAACACTGACCTGACGAGCACCCGCCAGGAGTACTACTTCTCCCCGCCCGCCTGGATCGATGCGTGGCTGCTGCGCCAGCTCCGCGACCCGCGCGACACGCCCCTCGCGTACCTGCTGTTCAACATCATTGTGCTGGTGGTGCCAGCGGCGGTGGCCACCTTTGTGGCGCCCCCGTCCCACGCACTGGGCGCTGCGTACCTGGTGCTCAGCAACGGCCTGTTCCTGCAGCGCTTCCTGCTGGGGCTGCACTACGCAGAGCACCTGCAGGCAAGGTGCCGCCCCCGGCAGCAGGGCCGCCACATAGTGTCAATGACAGCTCCTGGTTGCTGGCCATCAAGGATTGGCAGGGGCTACTGAGCTGAGATCTACAAGACCCGATCAGGTGCCTTCTCAATGGATGCTAGCAATAGGACTTTTGATTGACTGTGTGGCTGGAACCTTGGTGCTCTTGGCTTGACCAGCTATCCTTTCTTCTAACTGCAGATCTTCAAGAGCGGCCTGCCAGGGGCTGTCTTGAACTCCCTGTGCCCGTACTTCCTGTGTGCCCTCTTTGGCCTGCCGTGAGTGTGCCGCCCACCTTCCTGCCCAGGATGTCTGGCCCCTGCTACACCTCACATTCCCCCACTCTTGATCTGCTCCTTCCTGGCCTGCTTCACTCCCAGCTGAGCACCTGGCACAGCTCTCAGATGCGCTGCTCACTTGGAATCGCGCTGTCACATCTGGGCAGCCTCTTCCCCTGAGCCCCCACCTGTAGCCTGCATTGCTGGGCCTGCTTCTACATAACCCCCATGCCGCACTTTTGTACCAATGGTGCTGAATGGGCGCCGGGTCTCTCTGTGCCAGGCCTGGCATGTACCGCCTGCATCACATCTACATGCACCACTGCGTAAGCCCCTGCCCTTTTCTCCTCCACTGCCGCTCCATATGTTGCCCAATTGGTGGGGCATCCATGGTCCAACGTGCCTGCCTGTTCTTCCCCCCAGCTCCATTGCTTCCAGACGGCTCCTTTCGTGTCCTTTCCCTCATTGTCTGCTGACTACTGGTGCCTGTGCCGTTGCGCATGCAGGAGAACAACTTGTTCCCCCACGACCTGTCCAGCACGGAGGTCTATCAGCGCGACAACTTCTTCCACTGGCTCCTGTAAGCTCTCGCCCCCACACTAGCCTACCCGGGGCGCTTGTCTGTCCCTTGCGCTTGTCTGTCCCTTGCGTTCCTTGCCCCATGCTTCCCCGCCTTTGGGGAGTGTTGTGCCCCCCTTCCCCTCAGCGGCTGCTGTGCTGCTGCTGCGTGCCAGGTACTGGCTGCGCTTCTGGGTGGCCATCTGGGTGGAGCTGCCCCTGTACGCCCTGCGCAAGCGCCGGCTGCGCCTCGCCGCCCACACCCTCGTCATGCTCGCCGCCTTTGCGTGAGCCTGCCGGCCATGCTCCTCCTCTCCTTTTCTGTTGTGTTACTTCGTTGTATCTGTGGTCTTATTCCAACAACCAACCCAACTGAGAATCTTGTTGGAAACAGCTCCCTCCAATTCCATTTGGACGTCTTAATCGCTTTCGAGACTCACCAGGACTTGCGGCCCAGACTCCTTTCCGTTCCAGGCAGCTTGCTTTTCGTGCCCCTCCACTCCCGGTATACTTCTCCACTGCTGCCCTATTCCCGGCCCAGCCCCTGCCCGCCCGTCTCCTCCACTGTCCTCTTGGCCTGCGTGCAGGGCCGTCGTCCGCCAGCTGTGGCTCTTCAACCACGTCGCCACCATCTGGGTACGCGGCCCCCTTTCGCTCTTCCTTCCTGCCCGAGTGCGCCCCATGCTTGCCCCGCACCTCTCCTGCATGCTCGCTGCCCTCTCTCCCGGGGCATCCCCTGGTGGGTGTGCGCTGCTGCGTGGGCCCACTTGGTGCGTGGCCCTGTGCTGCAGGTGGTGGCTGCCCCCATGCTGGTGGCGTCGCTGGCCATGATGTTCGGCAACTGGGCGCAGCACCTCTTCCTCGACCCCGCCCGCCCCCGCAGCAACTACGCCCTCACGTCAGCGCGCTCCTCCCCCCCTCGCTCTCGGCCCACCTCTGCTGCGACCTTCCGCCAAACGGCGCTGCCTGTGTTCGTGCCCCATGAAAGGCGTGGAGGTGCCGCCTGATGCACACACCTGCTTCGGGCTTCTGCGCGAGGCGCCTCTCTGTCTCGAGCTCTGTTGCGCATGCGCCCGTGAGCCTGGCTCGTGTATGACGCCGCTCTCTCGCTGGCGCAGCTACAACCTGGTGAACGCGGCGGACAACCTGAAGACGTTCAACGACGGCTACCACATCGTGCACCACCAAAACTCCAAGCTCCACTGGTACGCCCCCCCCCCCTTCCGCCCTGGCTCTAGCACCATGGCGGCCCTGCTGCTGCCCGGATGCCTTGCGGTGTGGTTGTGGTGCTGTCAATTTCCGGTCGTGGCGAGTGTGGCCCAGCAGCGGCTGTGTCACCTTTGCTCTGCGCGTCTCCTCGCAGGACGGAGCTGCCGCTGCGCTTCATGCAAACACTGGACAAGCACGCGCACGAGGACGCGCTCGTCTTTGAGGTACGCCGCCCATGCTTCACCCAGCCCGGCCCGGCGCCAGGAGGAGCCGCTCGCCATGCTCGCACTCATGTCGCTGTGGGAGGACTCTGGTGCGGCTTGGGTCCCCCGTTGCTTGCCGTGCTGCCTCGTTGCATCCGGCTGATCTGTCGCCCGTCGTGCTGCGCTGCAGGGGCTCGGCTTCTTCGACGTCGGCTTCCTGGCCATGACGGGGCAGCTCCACAAGCTGGCGGACAGGTATCACCCCGCCACCTCGCTCGCCCGGCCCTCCGCAGCCAGCCGAGCGTCGTGAGCATTGTGGAAGCCGCCATGGCAGCTTCTGAGACGAGGCATCGTGTTGCAGGCCGCGCTTGGTTTCGGAGGCTCCGATGTGGCATGCGAGGGTGGCTCAGCGTGGGGCGTGTGTGCAGGTACGTGGACATTGGGCAGAAGCGGCGGTCGCGCGAGGAGCTGGTGGCCATGCTGAAGGAGCGGCTGCGGCCCATCCGGGCGAGCGCGCGGCACCAGGGGGCGGACGAGCAGCAGGGCGGGGGCAGGGGCGCGGGGGAGGGGCGGGGCAGGGGGAGCGGGGAGAGCCGCCGACGGTGACATTGGAGGATTGGGTGGACGAAGATGGACGCGGCGGCGGAGTGGGGTATGCTGTCGAGTGATGTTTGTTGCTTTCGAAATCACGAGTTGCCGAGATGGTTACACGTGAACAAGCAATTTTTCCGTTATGGTTTTCGCAAAACTTTGGCCGTAACAGCCAACCACGGTAATCAGAAGTCCTCGAGGTGAACTGGATCAGTCAGTGGCCTTTGCAGTCGGGAACAGGGCTTGCCAAGTCACGAAGGCAAATGGTCTTTGTAGGAGGACGTACGGACGACGGGCCTGAAAGAGGTCGTTGAGATGTGGAATGTGGCTGGCCCAGCTCTACAAAAATGGCGCTACATGCGCATCACTTGCATATGTGCCTACGCTATTCCGTCTGGTCAACTCGCCACGAGAACTAGACTCGTTCGTGCTTGTGCTATAACCTGCGTTCTCAATGTGTTCGTGCTCATCAATTGCATTGGACACCTTCCAGCCCGCAGGCCACCTTTGCTTTTGTCATGTACATATCGAGCTGTAGACTAGCGGAATCTGGACTGGATGGATCTTGCGCTGATCCGTCCTAGCAAATTACTGTTTAATCAACACCTGGCATGCATGGCTTCATGATGGGCCTTCCTTGTAGAACTGTCGCCAGTGCTGCTGTAGTCTCCTCATGACACAGAATTATCGAGTCCAAAAATGGTCCGTTTGAATTGTTTCATGATCATGGCGTGTGCCAAAACAGAAGACGATCTGGACCTGGGTGCGTTGTAAGTTAATGCTACATCTTGGACATCAACATAGCTGAGATCAAGAGATTCCCTCCCGTTAGCCATGAGTGTGAGATGTGAAGGTGTTGGCTACGTAGGTTAACAAGTTCAATTGTTTACATGCAAGTGGCCGTCAGGTGCGGGCGGCCCACAGAGCCCGTAGGGTAGGAAGCTATATCCACATGCGCCACAAGATACTCGGTACGGACATGCACATTGTCTGTTGCACTTAGACAGTGTTCCTGCGGTTGTTCCAAGGATCGGGACGGTAGCGTTGCTTCGACTCTCAATGATAGAGATGAACGGAGTCTTTCATGCCATGAACTCGCGGAAAACAAACACGTATGCATGGTGCAATAATGTTTGCATCACCAGTGGTCGATCAGCCAGGTTGCATCCTTTCCATTTGTATAGACTGTGCTTCAAGGAGCCCATCCTCCTCGCCTCGCCCTTGCAGCTGCCCCCGGGGCTGGCCTCGCTCCTCGTCTAGCAGGAGCTGGATGGCGCTCTTCCCAAAGGTGTCCGGCAGGACCTCCAGGCCCGACCAAGTGTAGCACGCTCGACGTACCTGGGAAGGGCAGGCGCAGTGTGAGCAGCAAGACCAGGCGGGCCGCCCAAGCCAATACTGCAGGCAGGCGCATAGACAGAGAATCTGCGCCACTCCACTGGAAGCGACCGGTGTCAAGGCGCAGTAAGGGCGGCAGTCTCACCTTGCGTAGGACCAGGGTGCAGATGAGCAGGCTGAGCCACAACAGGCAGTACCGCCCTACTGCAAGCAGGCACAATATAGAACGAGTTCGGTCCTGCGAATTTCCATTCGACAGAGCACTGGCATGGCCGTGTCCAAGACTTAGAAGCTAGTCACACTAGGCCTTGCGGATGCCAGCAGTCGCTCCCCATTGTACGCCCATCATGTTCTTATGACCACAGCGCTGCTGGGGGGCACCTGCGGGGGTGGTGGCGGCGGGCAGGGTGGCAAGGCTGGGCAACAGGTGGCCCAGGTACACAGTCTGCAGGACCACAGGAAACGCCCCAGCGGTGGGCCACAGAAAGTCCTTCACTGGCACCTGCAGGGAGCAAAGTATTGCAGTCAGCCCTGGAAGGGGCCTGCCCCCTTTTCAAAGAGGCTTGTGTGGAGGGGCTTGTGCCACAGCTCTTCTAGTTGGGCCAGCCAGCGCAGTGGCTGAGACACACGAAAGGGCACCAGATGAACAGCATGGAGAATCCTGATTGGTCACATCAACATGCTCTCCCTGTTGCGGAGAACTTGAGATGCGCACCTGCCAAAGGGCATAGTTGACGATGAAGTTTGGGATGGGGCTGAGGCGTGCTAGCAGCATAAACTTCCAGCCCCCGCGTGCAGCCCCCAGCTGCAGCACCTCATAGCGCCGGTAGTTGGCGAGGCAGGCGTGGACGACAGGCTGGAGGGGGGACCTGCGCCACACCAGCACACCCGTTCAGCGCCAGGCGAGAGCACGCCCCGGGACTGCAATGGCTGCAGCAGTGCCAATCATGTGCAGAGAAGGGGCCCACAATGGGGCTGCGGCCCTCACCGGGCCACGGCGTACGCTGCCGCCGCTGCAAAGAACTTGGCTAGCAGGACCAGCAGAAGAGCCCCCAAAAAGGGCAGAGTGGCGCCTGCGAGGAGAAGCACACGGACACCAGACCTCAGTGGGGAGTGAGCGATGGGGCTCTATTGACAGAGTATGTCCCTGACCTGGACATTGGGCAATGCGTGTCACAGGAGGTCACACATGGGTAAGGGGGCCCTGCCATTTCGTTCGTCATTACACTATTATTGGGCGGGCATGCTTCCCTTGCCTGCGTACAGCTCCAGCAGGAAGGTGGCAGGGAAGCAGACCACCGGGGCAAGACTGAGAAACGCCGCCAGCAAGGGCAGGCGCAAAGGCAGCGCCATGTGGTTCATGCCAAATTCAGAAGCTGCAAAACATGTTGTCTCCAGTCGGAGCATCTGCTGGCACTGCATCATGAGTCATGCTGGAGTCCGACTGCCGTTGGCATCAGTCTGCATCCTGACTCGGAGTCTCGCGGAGGTGTCGGAGCCTCTCATGCACGCTAGCTACCTATGGTAGGCGTGAGGATTGTGACGTCATGACTCTGCGTCACTGTGTTCCTTGACAAGAAGACAGTGACCTTGACACTGCAGTAAAAAAAAAAAGTAGCAGTCCATAGATAGAATACCTTTGTGGATGACAAAGCAACTTTGAGCAGTGTCAAGCAATCACTGCAGGCAGCAGGATTAAGTGTCAAGAGGCACTTGGCGCAAATTGGCGCGCAAATTGGTCGGGTTCCTTGCCTGTTTTACCACCGTGACTGACTGAGGCTAGTGTCGGCGGTCGCTCCCTGGATAATTCTCAAGAAAGATAATAGTAAGCCAAAATAATAGTAAGCTCCGACTAACACTAAAAACCCTAACCTTAAATGAAACACCCGCTCCGGACCCGTACCCACCCTAACCACCATACTAACCCTACCCGTCACAGTGCGGTTACCTTACTATTATCTGGGCTTACTATTATTCTTCTTGAGTTTCATGCTCCCTGGGCCTGGGCCTCAGCCTGCTCAGGCTGGCCAGCCTTTGCCCCGTTCTGGCTCGTTGCCTGTGGCCAATTGCAAACATCGGATGCCTCAGGCTTTAGTGGAAGGGGCATAGATCATTAGATAAAGTAATCCAGTTTCAGCATTGAGGAGGCTTCTGTCAGTAAAAATGCCGGGCAGCATTCATCTGGCAGGTAGGGTACATCTTCTCAGTCTGGCATTGTGCAGACGCTCTGCAGGCAGATTAGTTGTGGAGAATAGCGATTGACTTTATGCATCCAGCCATCATATTGGGTTTTGCGATGCACCAATGTGAACGGTCTTGATTTGGCCTCCCTGTGCATCTATCCCGCTCTTACATTCCCTTTCCCTTTGCAGTCCTGGACGCTTCTGACATATCGCAAGGTGAGTAGGGGCAGAAAGGAGAGAGGTTTTGATGTCTTTGGCTGGGCGCATGGTGGTGCTCAACTGACCGGGCTACTTCTTCAGTAGAAGCTTTTGTTCTTCAAATTGAACAAATGCAGAATTGCATATTGGCTGCTGGAGGCGTCGTTGGAATGGAGCCCAATTGTTGAGGAAATACTGTTCCTTGCAGTTGCTGGAGATGGTGTCTCCATCAAAGGTGAGACCTTTGCTTGCCGGTGTCTGCTCCCTTCTATTCTCCTATTTACAGCTGTGCAACTCTGATGCTACTTTAAACACTGCTTCCAAGAATCAGCAAGGTGGCACTGATTCGCTTTTACGTACATTATGCCCACATGTTGCATCAGTTGAGAGCATTTGCTTGCCTACTGTATACTTACGATGAAAGGTTGACTTCCTGATCACCGCAGCAACGCTGGGCAAGAAGCAGTTTGTGACAGAAGTGGCACGCATCACAGCGGGCAAGGCTGGACCCTGGGACGATGAGGAGCATGCATTCTCGGTGATGTCACTCACTGTAAGGCACCAGGCTTATGCCCCAAACTGCTCGAGTCATGACTCCCTCTACTCATTGTCTTTGTCCCCTTCAATGCCCCTTGTTCCTGATTCTCAACTCACGAGCTTCTGTGCAGTCTGTAGACGTTGTTTTTGCCTCTCTTACTCAGTTTCTTCCTTGTTCCAGGACCCCCTTGTCCTTTCACTTCTGGACGCCAATGGCGAGCCTCTAGGCAGTACCCGTAAGTTTGCTTTAGTCAGCTAGGCTTGCGTGCAAGCAAGAAAAGCCAGCAGACACTCTGAAACTTCTCCACGTTTGGCCTTTCGTCTCATGCAACATCTTGTGCCAGACCTGCCCTTCGATTGTAGCTCCTCTTTTCTGAACTGTGGCTTTTATTGTAATGTTGGGAGATCTCGGTGAAGTCACGAACAACTTCATACTGACTAGTCTACTGCCTCGTGTAAATGTTCGCAAGTCCTTGTGGAATTGCACACCACCATGACTGAGGTAGGATCATCTGTTATGTATATATCCGCGGTGATTGGACCTGTCAGACTGCTGCCGAAAACTGGTTTGACTTTAAAGCAGCAGGATCTATGCCATGGCAACCTTTGCTTGGGTCACCGTCAGTCACTGGTTTGGATTTGGTCCACTCATATCTTCAGCTCTTTTCTGTTTGCAGAGGTTACGACTCCATCCATTGTGGAAAAGTGAGTTGCTCTGGCCTTTCCTCGTCTGCCCTGATGGCTGCTCACTATCCAATGGCCCCGTTCCTTTCTTCCTGGTCCTCGTGCGCTCTGCAGAGAGGTGATGTGGCAGGTGTGGGGCAGTGGTGCACCCCAGGCTGCCTGCGCTCTATCATGGGCTAGACATGGGCCTGAAATCCTGCTCCGCTGAATGCAGAGGTTTCCGGGACGAGACTCTTGCGCTGAAAGATGGCAAGGTAGGCTTGGGGGTGTCTGCACTGCCAGCTGCATGGCATCGTCATGCACTCCACTCTCAGACACAGGTCTGGGGCAATGCACGAAAGATGCACGTGGGTGAGTTCATCAGGTTTGCATTGCTGATGCTGTTGGTGATGACTACACCCCCCTTGTGAGAATATGATACGTCACTTACGCAATTGCTTTGAGGAGTTGTTGATTCATCACTTGTCGGCCCCGCCTGTTGCGCAGGGCCAGATCCAGGGCCGCGTGCATGTGAAGCTCTCGTTTGTCCTGAGCGACGAGGAGCGCAAGAAGATTGAGGCCATGGTGAGCTGCCGCTCACCGCGGCGTCCACCTGCGTGGGGGCCGCACTGGCCAGGCTGGCGCGCAGTGTCAGTGGCAGCCGCCTGGCCTTGGCCTCCCTAGCGCTGGATGTTGCGAGTGCTAGTCCTCTGTTGCTTGTGATGTGGCTGTCACCATCTGTAGGCACGTCGCCAGCGTGTTGCTCTCTTAGAGAGCGACCATGTGTAGACTCGTATGAACAAGGACCCTGTATTGTGGATCCAAATAACCTGTGTCCAGCGGTGCCATGAGGTCTGTGCTGCAGGTGGCCACCCTGCAAGTCCCGCCCCTCATTGCATCCCTGCTTTGCTCCCTGCAGCGCTCCAAGTCGCTTGCAAGGAAAGGGGGGGCAGCAGAAAAGTCCCCCACTGCTGATGCGGAGGTTGTTGCCAGCCCGGGCCTGAACGGTCGGCGGGCAAGTGCGTCACGCTTCTCCTTTGAGAAGGCGATTGGCAATGGCGAGAGCACGGGGCCGGCGGAGACAGCGGCGGTGGTGGCGGCGGTGGGCGCAGAGGTGGACGCCCAGGTGGCGCGCGCCAGCACGGCCGCGCTACAAGCCACTGCCGACGTGGCGAAGCAGGCCAAGGAGGTGGCGGCCACCAGCGAGGGGGCCACCGCAAGCAGTGCAGACAAGCTGGCCCACAAGGCGGCTGAGGTTTCAGAGAAGGCAGCAGGGGTGGCAGCCACTGCAGCGGAAGGGGCGGCAGGCAAGGGAAGCGCAGGCAACGGGGTGGCAAAAACGAAGGCGGGAGAGGCGGATATGCTGCTGCGGCGGCCTAGCGTGAAGGAGCGCGTGGCAGCGCTGGAGAGCCCGGTCGGGCCACCGTCGCGTGAGGGGAGCCTGAAGA